AGGCAATAGTAGTGCAAACACATCGTGCAAAGCGTGCACCATTTCGCACGACCAAACCCCAGTTGTAGCAGGTTCACGACAAAAGCAGCCTAGCAGCTAGCAGTTGTTGCCCGCCACAAGCCCCAACATGATATATGTCAAAGAATTAAATTTAAGGCTCGGTGTGTATCAACACCAGCGACTTGATCAAATGCCATGCGGCAGTGGGTAGCCACCGCGCTCAGTCATCAAGCGTTTGGACTGCTGCATATGCCTGGGCCCAAATTGTTTGGTATCATGCCTATGCATGATTCACACCAAAAAAAGAACACCCAGCACAAGAACAATCAACGCGGATTCAGGGGCCCCCATCACTACATGCTGTCTAGCTACCTCCTTTGCCAAAGACTTTGCCTTCTCCTCCGGTGTTCCCTTCTTACGCTCCCTCTGCAAGGTTCTGGTGTATGTGCTGCACTTTTTGCTTCTCAATTTCTCCTTGTCCGACATGTCCACTTTCCTTGTTTTTTTCTGGGGTGGTGCATCGGGCATTTCTTCTGGCAACTCCTGGGCACCTCGCTTGCTTCTGGAGCTGGTGGTGGCTGTCTTGTCCTTTCCCTTTTTTGCTGCAACTGCCTGCTCAACCTCTGGTTCAGGCTTGCGCTTTTTGATTGACCGGGCAGGCCCATTGGGCGGTGATTCTTTGTTTGAACCCACAGAGTTGGACTTGCGGCCTGGCTTCTGCTGAGATTTGGTTTCCGGCTTGGGTCGGGGACCACTGTTCTTTCCTGGCTTCTTTTTGGGGTTCGCTTTCGGGGCACATGCCCTTTGCTCCTCTGGAGTCAAGTAATGTGCACGCCCCCAGCCTGCAGGAAGGCCATTTGTATCCTCACCAGGGTGGTCATCATCGTCAATTTCAAGTCGAGGAGATTTTCCATTTGCTTCAGGGCCTGAATGCTTCTCCGGGTGTGGATCCTCGACCTTTTGGGTTGGCACGTTGTCCTGTTTCGGGCTTTCGGGAAGCGGCTTGGTTGGTTCCGGCGCGACCTGCTCATGTGCCACCAGTTCTGGTGGGGGCTGGGCAGGCTCCTTGTAGCTCCTTCCCTCATGGTCTGATGCTGGTGGAGGCATGTGTTGATCTACCTTTGAAGCCTTCTCACCCACCATCCCTTCGTCGATCTTTAGACATGGTTCTCCGCGTTCCCCTTTCTCAGTCTCTTGTTCAAAAGAAACCTTGCCGCGACAAATCTCTACATTCACCTCCTCTTGGCTATCAGCAGGAGCTTGACCTTCGAAGTGATTGTCAAGATCCATCGGTAGAGTGTCCACGTTGTCAATGCCTTGGGCGCACACAGCTCGGGACACATCCATCCTACGCAATGACAACATATCATAACAGCACAATATAACATGCGGTAAGCACCCAGTGCATATATAGAATATGAATATATCGCTTTTTATGTACGAATATTTACATTGAAAAAGCACGTGCAGCGAAAGAGCAACACATTCTCCTTTGAACACTGGACTATATGAAATAAATCTAGTGGCACTTCTCCTTTGGAGCTGAATGGTCGTTCTCAGGGTTGGGAACTTCCTGACTGTTTTGCTTTGCTAGCATCAAATCCTTGAGCTTCAATTGAAGCTCAATCAATTGCTTGACCTTCAACATGCGCTGTAGCCGAGCTCTGTGCGCACGAAGGGCCTCTCCGGGATAAGAGAGTTGATCCAAGTTCAAAAAGAAGGGTTTGCTCCAAGACTGCAGCGAAAACAGCATGCCTCCAGCTCAGCAACTTTGGGCGGTGTCTCCAGACCTTCACTGCCTCACAATTTAGTTTTTTTATTTCTCCGAAGTCTGCCAATCAAATTTAAAGGAGGCAGCTTGAACACATACCATATACCCATTGAGGCCAGAGCTTGTGGCATGGGAAGCCGCTGCTTCCTGCACAGCAAAAATTAGAAACGATGCAGTGTGAACCCATGAAAATTGATTTTCCCACCTGAGTTGCTTTCGGGGGTGGTGTAGCGACGTGCGACAAAGGGCTCACCTCACACAACTTCCGACTGTTATATGATATAGCTAGGTTTCGGACAACATTCAACAACGGACATTGAGTGGCGTACTGCCGATGCAGTGCAGGATGGCTTTACGCGTGCATCCACGTCCTGGAGGCGTGCTGGGAAACATGGGCCTACATGGAAGTTGGGAGTACCACATGCAAGTTGGGAAAAATGTAGCCACTACATATGCCAAGAAAGTCCTTTGGCTCCTTTGGCTGATGGACAGAGTCGTCAGCAGGATCATGAATTTCTGCTTTCGCCTGGTGTATATACCCACTGCATTGCCTAACCTTGAACAGCTTCAGAGGGGTGCTGAATCACATGTGCCAAGGCCTCTTCCTCGCAGCGGTCTTTGTCATCAGTGCCACTGGGCTCAACTTCTCGACCTGGGCGCGGTGCTATGCGGCTGGGATAAAGTTGGTAATCTGTTGAAACAGTCCTGGGGATAATTTAGAACAGGTATGCCTAAAAATAAAGCGCGCCTTTCTTTGGCGCCAAAAATGCATGATTGATAAAGGGGAAAAAAAGGCGCTTCATTTTAACATCCCCATGTGTCTATTTACCTCGGGTAACAAACATAAAAGTATATATGTCTACATATAAAATAGTATATAACATTATTTCATACCCACATTACTATATGTAACAAACATTATTATAACATAACATGATAATCAATGAAACAGAAAAATCAATCAAAATGGGCAAGCTACTGGGTTCAACGAGCTGGTCTTCTTCCTCTTCTGACTCGCTTTCAGCGTCTTCTTCCCCAAAAGATGCTTCTTCATCCGACTCATGAATTGCTAATGGGATTCTTTTGGGTAAAGTGATGCCCAAGTCTTTGAGCAAACCCTGGATTTCCATTTCTCTTGGGACATGGGGTCTCCGAGCGATGGTGTTGAATTCTGACATACATCGCCTGGCAACCCAGGCCTGGCGTCGAATCGACGTTCCTTGGAACAGGCGTTGGGTGGAGTCGGTTACTGGATGGCCACCTCAACCAGCAAATCAAAAGAATTGCAGTGCTATCCAGGTGCCGCTACAGGGCTGCTTGCAATAGGAATAAAAGCTTTCGATGTGAGTCTCCAGTGTTGGAACGGCAACCCGGCGACCCAAGTGTTGAATTGCCAACTTCAACATTCTATGGTTGACTCTGACGGTGTCACGGCAAACTCGCTTTCCTGTTGCCTTGACCTTGGTAGGCAATTTACTTACATTTACCTATTCTATGAACTGTTCTCAGTGTATTCGGTTTCTAATGCTAACTAAAGTCAAATACTCTCACCACAGAATCCGTAAGCCCAAGACCAGTTGATACGTGCTCGCAGCAGCACGGAGTTCACGAACTTTTTCCCATGCTTTTGCCAATGGCGTGGCACGTATGTCTGACTCACAATCACTCATGGCCCCTTACACCTAGCTGATCCCACCCAGTGAGCCAAATGCTCTGGTATATATAGATGGTTCCAATCCTTTATGGGCTACCCGTTGGAGAACAATGAAGAAATTGCCCAAGTCTGTCCTCCGCTCCAGGCTTTGGAAGCTCGCTGTGTGCCTTCCAGCGGATGCTTGGCAAGGAGGCAAGAACAAAACAAATAAGAGAAACTTTTTGGAGTCAACTGATCAGCCTAGTGGACTGTGGGTTTCAAAAGCTTTAGTCACTTAGTCAAAGTTCTTCCGGTGGAGAACCAGAACAAGGAGAACACCCAAGACCTAGCCTCCAGCATCAAGTATGGCGCGAAGTAGCCATGAGGTAGGTCTACCTGCAGGGGATGTTGGGTTATCATCTTGGGGAACTAAGGAGTTGGGCACACCAAAGATGTTGATGCTTGCGCTTTAACAGGGCCTGGCCTGCACTGCAACGCAGCCACGGGAGAAAATTGAAAAAATGCTGCGGGATGCAAGCCAGAGTTCATTGTTCTACCTTTATTGGGCATAGCAAAAAATATAGGCAATTCCAGTCGAGTTAGTCGAGATGGAAAAAAACAAGTAGTTACAGGTCAAAATCCAAAACTACCAAAAATAATTGGTCGAAGGAATGTTCAGGTAGAGTGTGGAGTGTAAAGTGTAGAGTGTAAAGTGTGGAGTGTAAAGTGTGGAGTATAAAGTGTGGAGTATAAAGTGTATAGTGTGGAGTGTGAAGTGTAGAGTGTGGAGTGTAAAGTGTGGAGTGTAAAGTGTGGAGTGTAAAGTGTAAAGTGAGGAGTGAAAAGTTTAAAGTGTAAAGTGTGGAGTGTTCAGTGCAAAGTGTGGAATGGAAAGTGTGGAGTGTAAAGTGTGGAGTGTAAAGTGTAAAGTGAGGAGTGAAAAGTTTAAAGTGTAAAGTGTGGAGTGTTCAGTGCAAAGTGTGGAATGGAAAGTGTGGAGTGTAAAGTGTGGAGTGTAAAGTGTAAACTGTAACGTGTAAGTGTGGAGTGCAAAGTGTAGAGTGTGGAGTGTAAAGTGTAGAGTGTGGAGAATGAAGTGTGGAGTGTAAAGTGAAAAGTGTAAGGTGTAAAGTGTGAAGTGCGGAGTGTAGAGCGTGGAGTGTAAAGTGTAAAGTGTAAAGTGTGGAGTGTAGAGTGTGGAGTGTAGAGTGTGGAGTTTAAGGTATAGAGCGTAAAGTGTTGAGTGTAAAGTGTGGCGTGTAAAGTGTAGGGTGTAAAGTGTAAAGTGTGGAGTGCGGAGTGTAAAGTGTAAAGTGTGGAGTGTAAAGTGTGGAGTGTGAAATGTAAAGTGTGAAGTGTAAAGTGCACAGTGTAAAGTGTAAAGTGAGGAGTGTGAAGTTTAAAGTGTAAAGTGTGGAGTGTTCAGTGTGGAGTGTAAAGTGTGGAGTGGAAAGTGTAGGGTGTAAAGTGTGGAGTGTAAAGTGTGGAGTGTGGAGTGTAAAGTGCAGTGTGTGGAGTGTGCAGTGTAAAGTGTGGAGTGTCGAGTGTGGAGTGTGGAGTGTAGAGTGTGGAGTGTGGAGTGTAGAGTGTAGAGTGTGGAGTGAAAAGTGTCAAGTGTAAAGTTTGGAGTGTAGAGTGTAGAGTGTGGAATGTCGTGTGTGGAGTGTAAAGTGTCGAGTGTAAAGTGCAGTGTGTAAAGTGTGGAATGTAAAGTGTGGAGTGTAAAGTGTGGAGTGTGGAGTGTTGAGCCTGGAGTGTGGAGTGTAGAGTGTAGAGCATGCAACGCGACACGTCTGAAGTGCTGCGCCTGCCACGAAAAATTCAACTCTTCTGCTGAAAACCTTGCAAAAGTATTGCGCCTGTCACACATAAAGGTTTTTCGACACGTTTGCAGACACGTAAGAATGTCAGGAAGTGCCACGCCTGCAACGCAAAACGACATTACAACCAGCTTTGATACCTTTGAAAAGGAGAAGTTTTGCAGCTTTCCCCATAGACACGGCGAGGCCAGAGGAAACCAGAGACTCGAGACGAGACACGTTGGAGCATCAAAACGAGCATTTCGTGCGAGACTTACCTCCAATTTTCACACTGTGTAGCTTCAAAAATCGACGTTTTCCTACGAGTTTATATGAAGTTGCTACCTCAAAATCGATGTTTCGTGCGAGGCTTCCGTCAAGGATTAGCACATCCCAAAAATGCCACGCCTGCCACGCAATTTGCAATAATTTGCACCGTGTCGCCACTTAACGCAGCCCTGACAATGCGATTCGCAAAACCACGCAACACGACTCCTCTAAAGTGCTGCGCCTGCCACGCAAAATGAAGATGGACATGTCCAAAGAGGGCGCCTGCCACGAAAACTGCAACGCATCTTCTGAAAACGACACAAAAGTATTGCGCCTGCCACACAAAACCGCTTTCGACATCTTTCGACAAGTTACGAAACACGTCTGAATGTCACGAAGTGCCACACCTGCCACGCAAAACAAAGCAACGCGACGCGGGAAACCTCCAAAAGTGACGCCTGTTGCAGAACTTATCATAGGCACGGCCATACAGCCCTCACACGGACACTTGCAGACAGTTGCGCAACGTCTGGCGAACACAGCCTCAACCCCCAGACCCCCAGAGTGAAACGGGAACCCTTAGCTACGCATTCGGGAAAACAAGGACCCAACATACCCTCTGGTAATTTAACATAGCTGTTGAAAATGGCCATTTATAGTGGATTTTCCCATTAAAAATGGTGATTTTCAATAGTTATGTTAGTTTACCAGAGGGTATCCCAAAATGGTAGGGGCCGACCTTGTTTATTGGATTTCCTTGGCAGTCCTCAGTATGGAAACTCCAACGATCGAACCGCCCAGCCCTGGGTCGTCCAGCCGGACTCGACTGCCAACGGAAAAATGTTGGCTGAACTGCCTGCTGACCAGGGTCCATGGACAAATACCAGGGTTTTATAGGTTTAGATTAGGGTTGATTATGAGAAAATCATCTATCAACGAGGATATTCAGGGGATATATGATGGGGATAATGGGATGTGACTCACCAACTTGATATAATTTTTGGGCCTGGAAATGGTGCATACCCTTCAAATTGGCAATTTTTAGATGGAAAATGGTGACTCACCATTGGATGGAATGGTGTACCCTATTTTCAGACAAACCCAAGCAATAATATGGAGCTGGCCAAAAATTAATGAGAATGCGTGGGATTCATCAACAAACAACGTGTGAATGGATTCATTATTTATATATATATATATTAGATATATATAAAGTGTTTTTCATAAAACCATGGTTTTAGTCCCAATGATAGGGATTTTCATGGCATCTTCAGTCAAAAATATCCTTAAACCAAATTCGGAAATTGGCATCTTCAGTCAACAACTTATGACAAGAACGTGCATATTTATTGAGAAATGTGGATTGCACGAGGCATACCATGCTGAGAAATAGAGGCCTATGATTCAAATGAAATGCGGACAAAATCCTGAACATCGGATTGTTGCATCTAACATGTGGATACATAGATCCCATACATTGCCATACATACCCGTAAAGCTCCGGTGTATAACAAAATGTGAAGACAATGACTTCGGTTCTCTTCACAATGGCTGAATCTTACAGTCAGTCCGGTCACCTGATGTGCCAAACCCAGGTCATCCAATGGCGTCGTATCCATCATAACATGATCCGATGAGTCAACCACATGCTCAAAATAGTAAGAGCAGTACAGTATCAGTACTAAGTCTTTCTGATTGCGATAGTACACATATATAAGCGTTATAAAAGTACATACAATTGTATATATGTATATGATGTTAATAGCGTGACTATAAGTATGTTTGCTTGACATGTTGGCTGATTGTAGTAACATGTTTCATATACTTCATATTATGCCCATGTTCCCTCCCTGATGTCAAATGTTTCAATCCCATCACAGTGTTCTTTGCCTTGGAACTGGGGCAGGAGCGCTCCTGCAGAGACAGCAGTCAGGAACCGAGACTGAAAACAAATGCTGTGTGTATATCAGTAAATATAGTATAAACATCAGCAAACATCTCGGTGTTTGTTGGGGTTAGCACTGTATATATATATGTGTATCAGGAAATGACATTCTATTCTTTCTGTACTTTGGTGAAAAACCAAGTAGATGATTATTGTACATGTTATGGGGGTTGGTGAAACATGCCTTTCATGAAAAACCGGTCCCAGAGGGGTAGTAAGTAGCACTAGCAAGACTGCAATGCTTCCAGTTTGGTGGGTTGGAACATTCGTGTGCTATGGATTTGACTGAAAAAAAAGCTACCGCAATTTCCCATGGTTCATTTTCAGTCCATTTAAATTGCTAGTTTGGGGGAATACCCCATTTTCAGTCCCGGACCCATGTAATTGCACAGTATCGAACAACATGGTAATTTGGACGATCGATCATCATTTTCCCAGTGCCAAGTCTTCACTAACAAGCGCCCCGCCCGTCCTGAGACCCACTTCCAGATTTTGGGGCTTGAGGGCCTCCAGTTGGCCAAGGTGCAACCGGGCAACCAGTCTGTGGTCGACCCATTCAGTCTGTTCAAGGCTTGAGGGTACGACTTGAATAGTCATTTGGGTAGGGAAATTTTTGAAAATCCCATGGGATTTTGCCCATTGGCAAATGAAAAAACCACAGCATTCTGCACATCCAAACTGGTCACTTTTTGTGAAAGCCATGGTAGCCAGCCTTGATCTTTCCAGCTTCGCTGCCATCGGTGAGCTCCACCTGGTATCGACTTTCCTCCTGCGTTCTGAAGGGTCTGAGGTCATTGAAAAAGGGAGGTTTTTGAGAGGAAAGCAACACACTGGAAATCCAAATGCTGCGCGTTCAGTTCAATGTTCTCTCGAACGTTCTCAAAGGAATTGTGAGGGTTTGTGCTGAAATTGTACTGAAGAAAGACCTCAACCATTTAAATTGTTTGATCCCAACGCTTGAAACTTGACCCCAGCAAAACAGCCAGCAGCCAGCCAGTGAATAAAATCCACATCGTCAAGCCACCAATTCGTTTCTTCTGTTTCTCTCAACAGCAGTTGCTTATTGAATTCTGTAAACCATGTCCCAAAGTTCACTGGTTTAATACGATTTAGCAAGTATGTTTCCTCTCCATTATTCCCAACTTGGGGATACATCCCACAGTCTTGAAACAAACCTGATGAAATCCTGGGAGAGAACCCCATGGTTTGATGATTCAGAGTTCTACAGATCTAAAATCCAAGTTGTTTTAGATGGTGGAGAATCACCTCTTTCCCCATGGTTTCACGGTCAACCCTACCGGTCAAAAATGTCTCCAAAAACCAGCTCCGAACCTGACCGATGATGCGGCCAGTGCAGCCGTTCCTGAGTCATGGTGTTAACTCCCCATCTTCATGGCAGCCATGGAGGTAAACCAGGTGATCAATGGCTTAAATGCCTGAGGAACGGAGAACATGGATAAATGCCTGGTTTAATGCCTGATAAACCATGGTTTTATGGATAAAAAAAAACCTTATTTTCATTGGATTGGAAGGGATGGTCGCAATACTCCATCAATTTAACCATGTGACAAGTGAAACTTGGATTAACATGATTTAACTCTATGATCAATGTCAAACAGTCAACAGAGAGGGTGGTAATAGGCCAAACACATATGAAGATTCAATGTGAATAACAAACTAAACTATATTCCAGACTCTAGCACATTTTATTAAAAGTCACGGGAAGCAGACCTTGACGTCAAATCACATATTTAAACATGTCTGGAAGGGAAATCCCTTGTGCATACAGGGAGGTTCCATTGAGAAAATGTCATCCATTCTCCATGACCATGGTTAATTACCAGAGGGTATATTCTGGTTCAGCACCATGTACATCTCATCATCTCATCTCAAGAGTCAACATGGGTCCCAACATTCAATCAATGACAAATCGTGCCGATGAACCCTGCAGTCAGTGGCACGCAGGGACTGGGCTTGTACTCCTCACATCACAAGGATCAAAACATGGTATACTAGAAGTTCATAGTTCTACAGGGATCATTCCAGTGGCTATACTTGGCACCTGCTGAGTCCATCTGATTCAACCCTATGAAGGTGACTGTGAAATCATCCCAAAATACTGTTTGGAAAAAGACTGTTTGAAGCCACCAACCTGTGATATTTGATGCTTCAACCTGGCTCCCCCATCTCTTGATCCCCGTTACCATCCCCCAAATCAACAGTTTGACCCTGAACAGTTTGCCAATGTTTAGTCAAACCTAATCTTCTAACCTCCAAAGAATGGCAGAGTCTAAGTTAGCGAATGATGGGGCGTACCCTCTGGTAAACTAACATAACTATGGAAAGATCCACCATTTTTAATGGGAAAATCCACTATAAATGGCCATTTTCAACAGCTATGTTAAATTACCAGAGGGTATTTCCTAATGATGGCCTCCAACTCATCCCCTGGTGACCCGAGCTCCCCGGCAGATGCTTCGGGCCGTTGAGCCCCTTGAGCTTCACGGGCGTCCCCACCGCCATCGATGCCATCGACGGCGCCGCAGCTGTTGGCTCGGCACGCGCCGGCGCGCTGGGCGACATCAGGGGGGGCATCTCATCATCGCCTAGGGATGGCTCGTCGACGTGCCCTGGAGGATGTGGTGATACTGTTGGATCGATCTAACAGCGCCAGGCGCTATTGAAATATGGATTGCCATGGCCATAAAATGTATGCCGTGGGCATGTCAAAGAAAATCTGTTTGGATGGTTGTGGCATGACTGAATCACAAACAAATGATTCTAGATCCAGAAGCAAAGGGAAAACACAACATGTCCCGAGTTCTGATGAACCCCAAAAACAAAGAGCTTGAAACTCATCATTTTCGACCAACATGGCTTTTCAATGTTTTTCACGCAGGACTGTAGGAGTGTAATATATTTTAAAGGTGAACACATCGGTTCCAAAAGGGGGACATCACCAGTTGAGGTGCACCTCCTGCGGTGGAATCACGCCATTTGAAGCCATTCAAATCAGTCCTGCAGAACGGCTATGTCCCAAAGGTTGAGAGCCCAGGGCAGTTTCTCCGGATGGATCAAGATGATCAAGTAGTTTGTTGATTTTGTTGCTGATACCACTGATATCACTGATTGTCATAGCTGCACCGAAATTAGCCATATGCTGGAATCCGCAAAGTCCCCATCTTAGCCAGTCAAGTCCAACCTTGTTTCTGATCCAACCATGGTTTTTCACATGATGTTCTTCAGCCAGAAATTGTGATGATCCGCTAGAAATGCACAAAAGCCATACCCTCTGGTAATTTAACATAGCTATTGAAAATGGCCATTTATAGTGAGTTTTCCCATAAAAAATGGTGATGTTCCATAGCCATGTTAATTTACCAGAGGGTATGTCCAGTTCATCACGACGGATCGCCTGGGCTTCTGATAATGCAAGCGTTGGCTTCCCGAGAAGCCTGTCACACCTGGCCAAGGGATCATCCACAGCACGGACAAGTTGTACTACGGCGAGGCGACATAAAGACTTAAGACTTAGGGCAATCTCTGATGTGTATATATCCAATCATATCCAACCATGAAAAATAGCACATAGATAATCACATATATAATATTTATTTAATTGATTTTAATTGTATTTATTAAATTTATATATACGTATGTCATACCTTTCGATAATGGAAGGTATCATTCTGAATGTATCGCTTCTAAAAGGAACTCTCAGCTGATTAAATGACACTTCCATGGTCACCTCTCGGATCAAATGATAGATGATAGATGCCAAATAACATGGTTTCCCCCACCTTGAAAAAAAACATTAAAATAATCCAACAATTGCTTCATTGGAAGTTCAACAAAACTTCTCCCCAGGATAAAGACTTCAGGAAAAAAACCGACAGCATCACCTTGCATGGTGCAGGAAGGACTTCGACAGCGAAAGAATGTTCCACTTTGCGGCCCAGCTGTTTTGATTGAACCACATCTTGCAACACTCAAACACTTCTTACATGTTCGTACGGTATAAATCTGTGCAAACTTGATAACATCCAGCATACTCCCACTCGAAATGGAACAAACAATTCACTAGTAGTTGGAAGCTACTCAGAGTAGGTTGATGTCAGGAAATCCTGCTGGCCCGGCCAGGCTGGTCCTACAGTGATTCCTACAACTTGCACAACTAGGATGTTCTGACCTAGCGCATCTTCAAGTTCACTAAGTTTTTTGCTCACATCCCATCCATCAAATAGTAGTGTAATGTAATGTACTAGATCGAATGGGGGAAAAAAAATCACCCTTTCTGGGCATCGATTCCATCTTTCCATTTAAAAAACCAGCCCTTTCCATTTTTGGGAGACATTCCATCAACTGGCCCAACTCTGAGCCAAAGCTGCTGGCGCAAAAAACCATCCAGTACCGAGTACCCCATCTGTAACATCGCAGGGGGATGCCCCGATTACTTCGCTGTTTTCCACTGTGATGAGTACTGTTTGAACACAAAAAAAGCAACAAATCGGAGGCTCAGTGTGGGGGTAGATTCCATGAACAATGGATATCTCCAACTTCAAGTCTGTCTCAGAATCTGAGAGATTTTACGGCATTTTGTACTAGTTGGTCGTTCAGCAAATCCTGAGAATGGCGCCCTAATGGGTCCAGCGGCCCACTTGACATAACTTGGCCTCCCATACTCCCAATAATATCGCTGAGTCTCTGGAATTCCATGTATGAACTCCCAAATAAATCCAGAAATGATATCTCTGCAACATCTCTAAATCATTCTAAATCCCTATCATATCTCTAGAAACCCCAAATGCTGATTTATCTGGTCATCATCGCTGTCTCTCCCACCCATTGCGTCTCTTTTTCGCTGTCAGCTTTTGATCATGGCTTTATGATGCGATGTATGGGAGATTCATGGGATATCAATGGGATTCATTAAGGAATATCGATGGTAATGATGGTTAATAATGGTTAATAATGGTTAATAATGGTTAATAATGGTTAATAATGGTTAATAATGGTTAATTAATAATCATTAACCATCAATGGGATATGTATGGGATATTTCAATGGGATATCAATGGGACATCGGATATCAACTGGATAATATGGGATATCAATGGGATATCAATGGGGTATCAACCGGAACAGGATCAGTCGCAAAACAGGGATATGAAACAACCCGGAAATCTCAGTGGACGCTTGTCTCCAGGTTGCAGACTTTTCGGTCACACATGGAGGCAACGCAACGCGGGCAGCTGCAAGCGGAGTCTATTGTCCACCGGCAGTTCTAGCCAACTCGTTTTCTGAAGAGTGAGAATGATCTGCTGCAACCCCTAGCAAAATCTGTTAAACCACCAAGGATATTTGGCCATGCAACATAGTTCAATCATGTTCAATCGAATAAAAACCTGCTGTAGTTAGCTGCAGCTTCCTCACAGCTCCTTTACCAGCCCTTTAGCTGGTGGCATGGGTGGGTTCCAACACTAGCACCAATGGCTTGGTTCCAGCCATGATTGAACCCTCAAAGATTTCAAAAGGCTCATTAAACAAGGCATCCCGCCAATACATTCCTCTTGGGGCATCAGGCACGGCCACTGGATAGCTAATTCTTCCAGAGCAGTTGGGTAAATTGTTGGTAAAGATCCACGCAGCCTTGGAGCTTTGACATGATCCACTTTCTAAAAGCTCAACTTTTAGTAGATTAATTATGTGGGTAAATACCCAACTCTCAAAAACAAAAAAAATAAACAATCCAGATCGGTATGGCTATACTCCAGGCGGCGTGTTTGCTGTTGGCCGCTCCCCGCTGAAACACGAAGCGGTCCTTGCTGCCGAAGTGCACCTGGGCCTCCGCTGTCAGCAGCTTCCGCTCTCGTCGCAGGGCGTTCAGGCGCGACAGGAGGCGGTACTGCCAGGCGTCCCGGCTCCTGGGGAAAGGATTGCATCATCGAAGCCATCGAAGATGGAGCACTTACCAAACCTCTTGTCATCAAGGATAATGATTCAGACAATTGTCTTTATCTTTCAGTTGGGTTTGTGCGAAAGATAGCCAACAACCAAGAATACTTTGGTTTATCATCGTTTTCCCCATTGCTGAGCTGCTATTACTCCCAATTTTGCCATCAATTTGGGCAAATAATGTTAAGAGTTAACAAACAAAAATCATTACACATTGAAAAAAAACAAGTCCCACTCAAGATTGTAAACGATTGCCAATTTATTTGGTCTCTATCATGGCAGCTGCATGTCTTTTCCCATTCCCATCACTGCCAGGTGTCCATCCGTGCTGCCAGAGAGACATCCGATATTCCGCATTGCCTTGTTCGTCTCCCCAGGCAACCACCGGCATGCCCTTGGCAAACATCAACCAGGCCCAAGCGTTCAGCAGCAAGCTGGGGTCGTCTTGACAGCCGCCTCAATGGTGGAAATCAAGGGACGGATAGCTTGGGAACTTGGGAAAATGGTGGTAATACAAGTGGCACAGTTGAAACTGTTAGCTTTTTGGGGTGGAAACTGAGGATCTCAGCGGCTTAGACAGTGGAGAAGTGAGATTTCACGGAAGGAAACAAAGTCTGAAAGCAGAGACCCACATGAAATTGGATCAGGTCAACAACCCAATCTATAATATTGACAATACATATACCATCTGGTTATTTAACATAGCCATGGAAAATCACAATGTTTAATAGGTAAACCATCTATAAATGGGCCATTTTCCATGGCTATGTTAAATAACCAGAGGGTAATTAATAATGATACTACTGTAACCATCTAATAACGGCAATGGCAATAAGTAATCGTAGTAATATATGTAATATAATTGAATCATTTGATTGATGGTTCTAGAAAAATATGCTCGTCATTCGGGATCACCATTTATGCCAACCAGGGTTAACAACACAAAAGATTTGACACAACCAACCAGTCATTGAAAACCCACCCAAAAAAAAGACAAAACCAATCCAACCAAAATAGTGACAATGTACCCTCTGGTGAACTAACATAGCAATGGAAAATGGCCATTTATAGTGGATTTTCCCATGAAAAATGGTGATTTTCCATTGCTATGTTAGTTCACCAGAGGGTACTAATCTTGATCTTTTGTGGGTGATACTATTGTGGAAAAAAAACAAACCTCTCTTACTCAGAACAGCCACCTGTACCAGGAGAGAATGCTCCAGCAGAGACATGGTACAAGCCGGCAATGGGTGCGTCATCTTGGTTGTCCATCATATTCATCAACAGGTCCTTGGTGGCGTGCTGACACCTTGCTAAAGGCTAAACGAACTTGGTGGATTTAGATGGATTTAGCCTGAAAATTTGCGGAAGACCCCAAGATCCAGTAGCTTTGGTATCATTTGCTCTCACAAAATTGCCATGAATTGGGGGTGTATAATCACTACATGTTAAGGTTATCACTGTTATCACCCATATGGGAAATCCATGCAGAAATCCAAAGTCAACATCTAGGTGTGTGGCCATAAATTGAATAAAAACCAGCCGCCAGCCCTTCAATTTCAACATGTGTATGGATGGTATAAACATCCATAAACATGTATAAACCATCAAAATATGGATGGTTTATGACATGACTTTCCCAACATTGCTCCACCCAGGCTCCGTATTGCTATACAGGCCGCTGGTGAGTTGCAACTCGCTGGCAGAGGCTAAGTAGCTGAGATCGAACTGGGCCACAGGTGAGAGCACCGAATTGGGCCAGCCGCAATATCCCGGGACGGCGTTGTAGGTCAAGGGGAAATTCGCCAGCCCTCCCAACCTCGATCTGGTGGTGAAATCTGGTTGGTGGTTGGGCCCACCAAATATCCGGTAGTATATATATAGTGTATATATATATAGTGTATATATATATATGTAATATAAATAAAGGCTAAATACGAAGGTCCATCAGGATCATCATCCCATATTTGCCATTCTTGGCCATTCAAAAGTTGGAAAAGTCAAAACAAAACTCTGAAAAATCCAATTCCAAAACCACCCAGCAACATGCTTTGGCCATCCTTGCTTTGATAGGAGGCATGGAAGCTCATGTTTACAGTTGTGACCTCTCCCAGAACCCTGATAGGCCTCTGAAGAGAGAGCAACATGTCCTGTCAGGAGCGGACAAGCATAGAGATGTTGGTCAGGAAACACCCTCGGGTAATGGAACATGATCATTTCCAATAGAAATAATTACTACATATTCACCTATCACTAGCACTTGCTGCAACGATCCAAGATTCACATTCTCTGGATGTATGCATATTATTTATATTGTTCATCTCCGCGCAAATCTCAAATATGCATTTCAAGACGAAAAACCGCTCTGAAATGGCGCAGGTGGAGTCTCCCGAAACCTAGTTTAACATTTCATCCACGCTTCATTCAGTGTTTTATACTGTTCATCAAAATCATGTCTTTAAGCTGGGCCTTCGTTTGTGATCAATCACCATGACTACAATCCTTTTGTAAATGGGATCAACTCCAGTTTTCTATGGGTTGTAAGATCGATAACTGTACAATTTCACACCTCTCAGTAGTTCAAAAAATGTTATGAATAATCAGCTAGAACATGTTACTCACAAAACTAAAACTACAGTTGTAACTTTTACCAAACATGAGTCTTGTAAATAATCCAGGTTAGAACTCATGACCACTTACTATCACTACCAATGATCTGAGATGTCTCCAGCTTCCCGTCATTTTTTTAATCACACCTGGACTTCCTTCAGAAAGTCGTAGGGAAGATGTGGCGTGGTATCCAAGCGGATGCCATCCACATCAAATTCCGTGGCCTCGGTGTCGCCAAAACGTCGGGCTTAACCAGGCAAAATTAAGGATTTAAGTGTTGAATCGATGAACAAAAGCAAAAAGTCTAGCTTAATCCGACAAAAAAAACAGATTCCCATCTATATCATTCTATAATATATATATATAGTGCATATGTACACCCTACCAAGTTTGATCTGAGAAACCATATACTTCACCCAATCCTTCAGGAACTTTCGCACAAATGGATGTGACTGGTCCAGATCTGCCAAGTCGTAAAACCAGCCGTCTGTGATGACTGTCTCGTTGTAGCCGCGGCAGAGGTAGTCACCGGTGCCGCAGTACTTCAGATGTGGGGGACCATGGGCCTTCTCCTTGTAATAGAGTTCCTGAATGCAACGGGGATAACGCAGTGGGACAACTAACCCTAACAACAGGGTAAACCGAAGACCAACCTGATGGTCAAGCTCCACGGGGAGCGGCACGAGTGTTTTGGCCCAAACGCCCACCCTCATGTAACGGGTGGCTTGTGACATGTGCAAAAAGGTCATGACATGTCTGTCATGCTCGCATCCCATACACTTACTGACCTTTTTGTACACTTTACAGGTCTAAGTAAATGGATGGTACTGTACATCTTCTTCTATCCATGGCCAGCCGCTTTTCTCGGCCATTTCTTTCACAGCTGCTACAAAGAAGTCTTGATCTTCTCGGAGTTTTCGTTCGAGGGCCTTCTTGTGCACCTTGCGGCCAGCAGTGAAGGTCTCGTCATGCACCAGCTTCCAAAACTGCTTCTGCGCAAAGAACTGGAGAAGGGCTTTGCGGTCGTTGTACTTGGTCAAGGTGTCAGCCAGTTGAGCCAGCCCACATACCCAACGAAAAAGTGTTCCAGCTTTCTGCGCTTGGATCACAGCCAGGGTCAGTTCATATCCAGCTCTTGAGTCTCGAAGTCCATGGAGGCTTGAGAGGTTCCTTGTAGAGGCGTCGTAGATGCCCTTGGAATCCATCACAACGGCTCCAGGTACGGAAGCTATTTGACGATGTAGTTCCTTCCTTTCCAGCTGGTGGCCACATAGTTCGTAGAACAGGCCACGAATCTGGAAGTTCATATCTTCAGCTATTGTTATGCTTTGAACTTCAGCACCATTTGAACTCAGGGTCTGGCGAGGTGTGCGGCCAGATTTCCATTGGATAACAGCCACTTGTGTCTCCTGCCCTTGAAGAATTCCTTTTGGTGCAAGTCCAGTAAGCACGCCGATTGTGCTTCCCTTGTCACTTCTGTTGTGATTGCTTGCATCAGCCCAACTGATCACCGCCAGCTCGTCCAGAGAAACTCCATGCCAGTGAGGAAAAATTAATTTCTGCTGAGCATTTCGTTTCATGTCTCTGATGAGCTTGTTGACCTTGTGAATCAGGGCCACTTTGCCCTTGTTTATTTCACCCAGCAAAAGTGAGGTGTCTGCCAAGTACTGGGGGGCAGATTGAGTCGCCCGCCAGGAAGCAGTACCCAACGCTCCACGAATCGCTGAGATCTCATTATTGGTGAGGTCAGCTCCATGTGGTCGCTTTGCGTCCACTTCAATCTCCTCGATGAACTTCAGGGTGTAGTCCTTCTGGTCCATGGTGATCTCGAAATTGTCATGTTGGACTATCCATGTGCCAGCAAACTCGAAGCCATCGCTTGCTGAAGACCATTTTCCAAATCGAAACTTGGCTCGAAGTGCACGTTCAGCTTCTTCGTAAACCTTTGAACCAGGCCGTCCAGCGATGAGAAAATCATCCACATGTAGGCCTGCAACTCCAGCAATCCGTTCAGCTCCATCGACCGTCTCGGTCAAAACAAAAAGGCATTTGTCGCCCACCAGGGGCTTCCATCCAAATTGCTTCATTGCTGAGACCACGGTTTCCCACCACTTGCGGGGTGAGTGAACTAAGCCATAAAAAGCTCGAAGAACACGTAGAGCTCTTGGATCAAGTGGGTTCCCTCCAAAATAGGATGAAAGTTCAGGCGGCGCCCAGACATAGAGCTCTTCTGACTCCAGGCTCTCATCGGTCTGCAAAAATGCCGATGTTACATCTCCAGCGCCCAGCTTCAATCCACAGGCAGCGCAGACTGCCAAAAGGAGGTTTCTTCCTACCTTGCTGAGGGTAGGAGAAGTTGTTTCAACTTCGCACAAATTGTGCGCCTGAAAACCCAAAATGACCAATCGCGCCTTTGCGCTCCCATCGCCCTTCCATGTGAGCACCCAGCGCATATTCATCACGCGGGACTTGTCCAAGTTGAGGGATTCATCTTTGGTGATGTTTCTCAGTGCTCGGGAGGTGGCCACTTGGCTAAGTTCCTTGGCCATGGCGATGTCGAAGAGCTTCTTCTGGTCGAGCGTCAGCTCCTTCCATTGTACCTCTTTGCTCTTTTCAGCCATCTTGCGGGATAGCCAGATATTGGCTTTTCGGTTGACACAGTTCTTTGCCAACCATTCATAGTCTTCACTTTCAACAGGAAGCTCCAGGGCAAAGAAGGTTTCTTGAGGGGCAGGTTCAGAAGGGTCGGCAGGTGTAACATGAAGAGAATCAGGGAGAAGTTCTTCTGAAGACGTAGATTCGGCGTCAATGCCATCATCATCGTCATCTTCAGCTTCAACTTCTTCCGTCACAAACTTCTTGCCTTTGTAGGAGTCATAAAGAAACTTCCCTTCAGGTCCTTGATGTACTCCTTGATGTCCACCAGGTAGTTCGCATCCAGGAATGGCACACTCATTGCTGCCAGCGCTTCCTTTCAAACGAACTGGTAGGCCATCAACTGCATCGCTGCCGTATCGCAGCAAGGCATCATTCAGGCTGCTTGAAGGAATCTCCTTCCCAGGTACTTCTTCTTCAGCATGTCCAGGAGGTAGATCTTGTCCAGCTTGAAGAGGTAGATCTCGTCCAGCTTGAAGAGGTAGATCTCGTCCAGCTTGAAGAGGTAGTTCAGGTTGCTCCTGGTCATCGAAGATGTCCTTCTCGTTCTGCTCCTTCTGAAGCTCGTCCAAGTCCTTCTCGGGAGGCCGCTTGAGGCCTGTTTTCGGCACGCTTCTTCTCACCTTCAAAGGTCGCGGACCCATCTTCATCTCAAACTGCGTCTCGCCAGTCCATCGATCTTGCAATGTCTTGACAACTTCCATGTTGTCATGGATTCGAACTTCATCTCCACCTTGAACAGGTCGCACAACTGTTGTGCGTTTGCCAGTGAGCTCGTCCATGGAAACCGGACAGGTTTGAACTCGTAGGGGAGAAAACAAAGCAAGTCTTGGAAGGTGGTGTATGCGCACCAGGATCTTGGAGTCCTTGTCCTCACGAAGCTCCCAAGTGTCAGCACGTTGAGCTTCAGGTCGAGGTTGAACTTGAACTTCCGTAGGGCTCAGGTCTTGTTGGAGTTGCTGTTCACTCGGCACATTGCCGGTCATGTCATAGTAATAGCGTCCCTTGAACGCTCTCATCAAGGTCTCAGTGGTGATTGGAGTCTTGTGGACTGCCGTGCCTTCCAAAGAAGCTGTCAGCTCCTCTCTTCTGGTCACAGGTCGGATCTGGTTTGCCTTTGCTCTCACAAGAGTGCTTCCAGTTGCTAGCCAGATCGTACTGCCTTCAACCAGTACAACACGTAGAGGGCCAATCCAAGAACCACCAACGCGCCCAGGTTTCATCTTTTGGCGCCAAAGCATCACCAATTGACCCGTTGCCACCTTCACTGGGGGCCGTGTCACAGCATTGGCCAGCTTGCTGAAGCGATCTCGGGCTCGTTCACGTTCAAACGCAAGTCTTGCCTTTTCACGGATCTTGAGAAGACCGCCAAAGGCCTTGCCAGCTCGAAGTCCAACTGGGAGGTTCTCCAAGGTGGCATTGGCATAGTCTTTTCCGTGAACCCATTGAAACGCGCTAAAACCATGAGCTCCAACATGAGAGTTCATTGCATGGGCTGCCAGCTGAAACAACATTGGCACATCATAGGGGCCTTCTTCTTGAAGGAGCTTTTCAACCACTCTTTTCGCATAGCCTATGGCTTGCTCCTCCGCACCCATGATCCAGTGAGCTTCTGCAGGTGCAATTGTCAGCCCAACACCAGCGCGGGCCAGGTATTCAGTGAATTCCCAACTGGTGTAGTATCTGGCAGAGTCGGCAATGACCCAAGTTGGGGCTGGATGATACATCATCCACTTGGTGAGAGACTTGATCACATCCTCTGTTTTGGGCTCCCAATGGTCGCCTTGGTGCAGGATGTCGATCATAGTGAGGCCACTTGCTCGGTCTCTCCAAAGAATGCCCTTGTACTTCACGTCAAGGTGCTCGAACTCGAAAACGTCCGTGCCCAGCATCTCAAACAGAGCGGGCCCATCCTCAGTGCCTGCTGGAGGCTTCAAGGCTGGTTTGGCAGCTTCTTGGCATTCAGGACAAGTCAACGTCCCAGCCAATTCAACTGCCCATTTCGGTGAGCCTCTTGCTTCCAACAGCTTTTGAAGGTTGCTAAAACCACTATGCCCAGAAGCTCGGTGAACTCGCAGCATCATCTGCTTGATGGCTTCCAAGCGTTTTCCTGTCGGGGCCTCGTCCAAGTTGAGACGAGTTCTCGTCAAAGCCATCACCTTCTCCGTGGGAAAGTCCTCCTCAAAGTTCACCATCATGTCGGGCTCGAGGTCAAGCAGGTACCTCTCGGTGAGGTAAACCGTGTGCTTGTCCTTGATGTCCCACTGGGCTTTCATGGCCTTGAGGATCTCCTTGCAAAGCTTTGGAGGGTAATATGAGGAAGAAACAGCAGCAGGCCCTCTGCATTCAGCGTGGCAATGGTCACCAGGGCAACGGCGGCAAACTCGAAGCCAAAGCTCACGAGGTCGTCATGATTTGCCAACCTTTCTTCAAAGGTAAGCCCTGCCATTCCAGGCCGTACTGACAGCCATGTATTTTGATCCAGTAGATCACCCTGCCGTGCTTCTTGGCCAGCCGTTCCAATCGCTGTATTGCGCTTGAGCGCCAACCAGCTACGGCTCCAATCGGCCATTCCCAACCAAAGTCATCATCACCAGCAATCACTGGCTCTAAAGAGCGGGCAACTTCATCAGCACGTCGTAGGTCTTGACCTCTGCGTTTCAGAAACTTGCTCCAAGCAGCTTCATCTCTCTCCGTCAGGTTTTGGAGACTGGAGAGCCGTGTGCATGGGAGACTCACCCACGCCAGGCGAGGTGGATGGTCTTGAAGTTGTTTGGCAAGAGCGGTGGTGCCCTTCTTGCAGTCCAGGTCAAAGCCAGTGCGGTGATTGATCCGCAAGCATTGAAGACCACTCTGTTCAAAGGTAGAGGTCAAGGTAGACGTAGGAGAGCAGGCAATCTCCACCAGGTCGTACTTCATCTCCGTAGCTGCGAAGATCTCCTTCACGGGGCCAAGGACCATTGCAGAAATTGTTGCGGCTTTTGCCAATTTCTTTGCCAAGGGCGGCAAAATCTCTCTTGTGAAACTGTTTTTCATGGACAAAATGTCCTCCTTCGTGGTGCCTTTGTTTGGCGTAGTGGACGTAGTGCACGTGGTTTGGCTGTTGCCAGGGTTGACATCAGTGGTTGTTGGCTCCTTGTGGCGGTCAGCCTCCAGCCGGTTGCCACCAGATCCATCAGAGGATCTCATCCTTTCTCGCAAGGCTTTCAGAGAACACCAAAGGCTTGCTAGCTTTCCACTTCCAGAGTCTCCTCGTCGCTGTGGATCACCAGCACCTCGTTGGCATCCGGCAGAACCCTCATCGGCGCTTCGGGGACTGGAGCAGCCTTGACTTTGGCCTTTGCCATGGGGTTCACAACTGGTACAGCTGCTTCCGAAGGAGCAAAACTTGGTGTCGGTGACACGCTCCTTGTCGCCCTTGTCGACCTTGTTGGAGTCTGCGGTGCAGGTGTCGGTGTTGTAGGCATCGGCGTTGTGGTCGCCGTAGTGCTCTGAGATCTCCTTTGGTAGCCTGTGGTCGGTGCAGCTTCCCCCAGAAGATTTCGGCCGCGTGGTTGGTCGGCCCTGATCTCCACCTGGAGGCTTCCTTGACCACGCTGCATCACCAGGCTTCTGCTTTTGATCTCCATGACCTTGCCCATGAAGATTTTCTCGTTCATCTCCACCGGCTGGTAAACCTGTTGCAACTCTTCTTGTGCCATCGCCACAAGTTCCGGTGCCGGTCCAACCGACCGTGACTCCCCATGGCCTTTGGTCTTCACCACGTAGCTCAGGCGTAGGCCACAGGTTTTGCAACTTGTCCACCGCGCATACTGGTTGTTCTTCTCCCTGCCACTTTGGTGAGCTCCACGGCATGGCCATCCGTCTTGGCGGGGATCGACCGGTGTCGCGGCAACTCTGGACTGGGCCATTGATCTCTTTCTTGAGCTTCTCAAGCCTTTGAGCCAGGGACTTCAGAGTCGCATCAGCTCCATGACAAACTTCATGATCATGTTGATGTGCAGGGGCATGAGATAGTGAGGCAGCATGACCATGTGGATGAGCATCGTGAACATGTTGATGTGAAACTCCATGACGTGAAACATCCATGCCAGCACCAAAAACCGTTGACATCATCAAAATAGAACCTGTACCTCCATCACCTTGACTTCCAGCACTACCCCCATTCCCATCATGGTCTCCTTTGGAAACCTTGTTGCAGTTTTTCTCAGACTCGTTTTGATTGGGCTCATCTTTTGGGGATGTTGTTGAACCTGAGGCAGCACTAAAACTTTTTGGCTTGGAGTTGCGGTCACTCGGTGAGTCGTCAGGCTCCAGCTCGCGCTTCATCGGCTTGTGGCGGCAGTTGTTGCCAGAGCACCAAGGAACCCTACAGGTAGAAGAGGAAGCAGCACGGCCATGTTGAAAAGAGGTCATTTCCAAGGACTCGCGATCGGTCCCATCCAAGTTCATCACCTCGGAGATCTTGACATCATCGCCAAAACGTCGAGGCCCAACTCGGTGAAGTCCATCGCCACCACCAGCGGCTCCTCCAGCAGCTCCACCAGCAGGTCCAGCATCACCACGGTCTCCTTGAGGAGGTTGTTCAGGGGGAGCATCAGCAGGAGTATTGTCGGGAGGTGCAAAACCATTGGCACGGTTGGCAGCTCTTCGAACTGCGTCATGAACTGCATGTTCTTGTCCAGGATCTCGTTGGCGAGGTCGTCGGTCGCCGCTCGAAGGTCCATCTTCTCCACCACCATCTCCATAGCCACCATCATCATCGTCAGGAGAGAAAGGTCGTTGAAGATGGTTGATCCAGGATCCCAAACTCGAAGGCTCCTCATCCAGGTCGATCGCCACATGGCGTCCACGTAGACGAATCAGAGGATTGGTCCACCATGCTCCATTTGCTGCTTGGTGAGCAAAATACTCACCACAGTAGGCCACCACAGCATTTCTGTTCCATAGTTCACGACCACCAAGCAAAGGAGGCGTCATCTCAGCATGACCATCCAAGAGGTAGAAGGAAACCATCTTCAAGGCCTTGGTCATGATGTCCAGGCGGCTTGTAGCTTGTTGGGTGTGGCCATTTCCAAACCTGAAAGTTGGCCGGTCATGCAGCACCACATGGTACTCAGGGTCACGGATGCTGTCAATCATCCTTGCCATTGCTGTCACACCACAAACTGACTCAGTGGCGCCTGTGTCTATGATGGCCTTGAAGGCGTTGATGCAGTTGGCTGCATTGTCATTCTCCAGGCTCAAAACGTTGATGGACTGCAGGGTGTCGTCCTCCACAATCTCCTTGTACTGCTCGATGTCGACAAAGTAGTCGCCAGCGTAGTTCACCTGGCGGTGAGAGAACTTGCCTTTCTGCTTGCCTTTTGCGCCCTTCTTGCCCTTGCCTTTTGACCCCTTCGGGGAACCACCATAGGCAGAGTAGCGGTCAGGGCAATTCAGGTAGCCATGTCCCGTTGATCCACAAATGAAACACGGGCCAAGGGCTGTTCTTGGCTTGCCCTTGGTTTTGCCTTTTCCTTTGGATCCCTTGCTTGTGGAACCCTTCATGCCAGCTGGGTCGAAGTAACCACGGGCGGCACGAACTTTTGCTACGGCCTGTCTGGCCTCTGAGAGTGTCTTGTTGGCTTCCTGGGCTATTGTAAAAGCCTCTTGGTAGCGCTCATGTTCTGGGATTGATCCCAAGTCGCTGGTGTCATCAGCTTTGGGGCTCCCATCTGTCCAATCCCAGTCATCTTGCCAGGATCCATCAGTGCTGTAGTCCTCGTCATCGTAGTAGTAAGCCCATGAGGCATCATCATACCAGTAGGCTTCTTCTTCAGCACTCCACCATTCATCAGGCCAGCCGGGGCCTTCATCATAGTCATCACCAGCATCCCATGAAGATGCTGTCTCCTGGAACCAGATCTTCCGCCGTTGATCTTCTGCTCCAACTTCTTCTGCGAAAAGAGTCCGCAGGGCTCGGCGTACATCAACAAACCTCGTAGAGTTCGACGTCAGGGTCAAGACATGTTGTCTCTCCTGGCTGGAGAGTCTTGCAGCTTTGAGAAGACGGTATCCACGTAGTTCATCACCAAAGAAGTCGGTCTCCAAGGAAACCGGTGCTGCCACAGAAGCGGCACCATCGTCATCAGCTGGTTGAGCTCCTTGAGGACCAGTTGGCGACCTTGAAGGTGACGTAGGTGGATCTCTCTCTCGGCTGGTTCCAACTCCAGTCGTTGACATCTTTGCTCTCTCAGTTCTCGCACGCTGCAACCCTTGTTGGAGTTCTGTGAACAGCTCCTCTTCTCGCACTAACAGCTGGGGAATGGTCTCATTCTGCAGCCGTCTCATGTTGGACCATTTTTCCAACCTGCTAAAAGAGTCCGGGACTGGTAGCCGTTGTAGAGGAGAAGCTCGAAGAACTTCTATCAGCCTGTCCAATCCCGTGAGGGAATCATAGTCAGCTGGGTCCAGGTGTTTGACAACACTTTTGGCTGCGCCTCGAAGGCGTTGCCAAACCCGGCTTGCAGCCAGCTTCCTCTCAGACTCTTTCAAGGAGGAGGCATACCACTTGCAAGCCGTGACAAATGCCTCGAAACTTGCTGGATCTCCATCCCATGTAGGGACATTGTCCTCTGCCGGCATCGTCGGCAGCTTCACCCCAGGTCGTAGAGGAAGTCCAGGAAATAGTTCCAGCGTGAGCAGGTAGATCAGGATGTAGGCCCAGCAGCACCAGAGAGCGTAGCGCTCGAAGTCCACCACAGCAGCCGTAGAGCGTGTCCAGGTAGAAGTCGAAGCCACCAGCCAGCGCGAACAGGTAGAGGTCGAAGCCACAGCCACCAGCGCAGGCCAGTCAGAAGACCAAGGTCGAAGAGCCAGGAGCTCCGCGTACCATGCAACGGGGATAACGCAGTGGGACAACTAACCCTAACAACAGGGTAAACCGAAGACCAACCTGATGGTCAAGCTCCACGGGGAGCGGCACGAGTGTTTTGGCCCAAACGCCCACCCTCATGTAACGGGTGGCTTGTGACATGTGCAAAAAGGTCATGACATGTCTGTCATGCTCGCACTGAACTAAGGGGCCTTCCACAATCGTTTGGATTTTCAAACACGGTCACACATGTGTGTTTCAAACAACATGGGCATTTTCCAAATAGAAACCCTTAAACAAACTCTATGTGGCCAACAAACATGAGTAAATTTTGACCGACAGAACGAGGGTCTAATCAATAAACACTTCAATAAACCTCGAAAGTTGCGGTAGGAGCGAAATCCAAATTCAGCAATGGAGACAATTTATTTGGTGATCTCTGGGCCAATGAAACCCATCAGCCAAGAAATTTTCACAGACTTTCCCTGACCATCCAACTTCCAGGGTGTTTGTTACCCTCTGGTAAATTAACATAGCTATGGAAAATCACCATTTTTAATGGCTAAATCCACTATAAATGGGCCATTTTCAATAGCTACGTTCAATTACCAGGGTAAGCCTTGTTTATCACTGTTTGATCCGGAGACCCATCTCCAATCATCTCCAGCTGAATTTGATCAACGAACGGAACATATCTGCCCAAAGTCATCCTGCTTCTACACACAAAAGACCTGTCGCGTAGCAGGAAACCTAAAATAGTTTCTTATTTACTTCTTAGCATTTTTACTTCCAGGGTCTTCAAACTGTTTGTTGTTTTGCTTTTTAGCAAGGAAACTCTGGAATAGTCATCGACAACAAACAAAATCATGTCAGCTGCATGGCAGGAACCCCTAGAAATATCATCAACAAAATATCTACATGTCAGCTGATAGAAATTTAGTTGGCGTTGTTCAATTCATCGTTTTTTGGCCAGGAAGCGCTGGAATAGTTGTTCCCCGGATAGTTATTGCAGTAGGTGCCACTGTTGGTGCCATCGACACTGCCATTTTTGAAGCGGTTCATTTGGCATTGAGCGCCTGGACCCAAGGCTTGGATGGGCAGGGGCCAGTTCTCGCCCTTCTCCGCGTACCTAGAAAGGACACGTACGGTGAGAAGGCAAGGACATGCAAGGACAGCATATTGTTGGTGCACAGGAATATCTGGTCAGCCCAAAAAATGGAGACCAGCGAAACTTGAGTTCGGTAGAAACAAAAGCCCTACAATCAGTGTCAAAATTGGGTACTCCTTTTGGATTCTTCATCGGATGACTTAAAAAATGACCCGGGGTCCCCACTGGGGTCCCCTTGGAACCATTTAGAAGCATTTTTTATAGCATAACTATGTCCATGTCATTCCATTTCGGCCCAAGTGACTTGTCAAAGCTCATGCCACTCATGTTCAAAAGATGCAAATAGCTCGTGTCGTTGAAGGGTTTGACCCTCTGAAGGTCGGCGAGGGAATGGATGGGACGAATGTGGTTCAAGACGATGTCCAGGATGAAGCACATCCTGGGCACTGAGTGATTCATGGCCTAAAAGCATCTAGAAATACTGAAATACCCTTCAAATATGTATATATATATATATACATAATAAATATAGTGAACTACTATTCTTTGAGTACCCCAGTTTATTCCCCAAACATGCTTCATCCATGGTCATCCAATCTCAAAGAAAATCAGGTCACACCATGTGTTCACCATGTTTTACCAAGACTCCCATGTTTATGGGTTTCCTGCACCAGTTCCTTGAGATCATCGGCAGTTCCAAAGTTCGGATCGATCTGGGTGAAATCTTCCGTCCAATAGCCGTGGTAGCCATAGCCACTTTGCCCCAAATCGGGGCCATAGAAATTCTTCACCACCGGGGTGACCCAAATGCAATCCCAGCCCATACCACCTGGTAACAACGGGTCCATCATGTTGAAATCCCAAAGTCGATTGGGAAGGAACAAGAAACATCCTAATT